ATCGCCGCAAGAAGGGGCAACGCCCCCATCGTGCGCATGCCCGTCAGCAACCCCACGCTGAGTCGCCGGAATCCTGGTAGCAGTCGATTCTCCTGCTGGAGCTTCTAGATTCTTTTGTTTGTCTTTGCTTTTCTGTTTGGCCCTGACTTGTCTCGGGGATTTTCCAGCTGGAGTTCCTATGTTTCTTTTTACGCCTAAGGAGCGCAGGCGGATGGAGGAGCGTCTTCGGGCACAGGCCCGCTTGCCACCAGCCCTGCGCAATCCGCCAGGGACGAAGCCTAGAAGTTCTGGGTGACGAGCCTGGCGGTTGCCATTGCCGGCGACCGGGGGCTGCGCGGCCAGGTTCAAGAGGAGTCTGCGCCACCAAGTGTGGCGGGATTTCCTCTGAAGCTACTTGTCTTGCATAAGTGGCTGCCATAAGGTGACGAGGTTGAACTCTGACACTTTTGTTGGATCCTGCGAGAGCGGGTAGGTGAACGTCCCTTTTTGGAGGGCAGGTATCACACTACATCTTTGAAGTGACGGCCCATGGTTTTAAAAGCTTGTTTATGCCTACGGCGCCATTAACGACCCCTGCGTTTTTGTCATTTTTGCTGACTGGATGCAAGTTGCTCTTGAAATTGATGCATGCGCAACTGACGTCACGTCACTGGGTTGGGGTGGTGTGGGGATGTTAACGTTCATGTTAACTTGCGTCACATGCACAACTGACGTCACGTCACTGGGTTGGGGTGGGGTGGGGATGTGAACGTTCATGTTAACTTGCGTCACATGCACAACTGACGTCGCGTCACTGGGTTGGGGTGGGGTGGGGATGTTAACGTTCATGTTAACTTGCGTCACATGCACAACTGACGTCACGTCACTGGGTTGGGGTGGTGTGGGGATGTTAACGTTCATGTTAACTTGCGTCACATGCACAACTGACGTCACGTCACTGGGTTGGGGTGGGGTGGGCATGTTAACGTTCATGTTAACTTTCGTCACATGCACAACTGACGTCACGTCACTGGGTTGGGGTGGGGTGGGGATGTTAACGTTCATGTTCACTTGCGTCACATGCACAACTGACGTCACGTCACTGGGTTGGGCTGGGGTGTGGATGTTAACGTTCATGTTAACTTGCGTCACATGCACAACTGACGTTCGCGTCACTGGGTTGGGGTGGGGTGGGGATGTTAACGTTCATGTTAACTTGCGTCACATGCACAACTGACGTCACGTCACTGGGTTGGGGTGGGGTGGGGATGTTAACGTTCATGTTAATGCACAACTGACGTCACGTCACTGGGTTGGGGTGGGGTGGGGATGTGAACGTTCATGTTCACTTGCGTCACATGCACAACTGACGTCATGTGCAAGGGTGAGTTGAAAAAGGAGTTTTGCTGAAGGACTGGTGATCAGATGTAGCTGAATCTGTCCAACAAAAGAAAAAACAATAATTCTTTTCAGACGTGTTGAAAATCGATGAACGTTCCACACGAAACGCACTTTTGGTAGTTGGCCCCAGTGTAACTACGACTTGACGTTTTTATCACGTTTTTACAAAACCTTGCAAATACCATGATTTGGTGAACCAAGCATCATGAACAATCCATGAATTACCCCGGGTCGCTAACCGCGCCGTAGCCTTGTTTATAGCTATGAGACTAGGCACAATTACCCAACTTGGAATGATTTGCCCCTGATCTGTTGTTTTACTTCTCATATAGAGTCCCGTTTTAGATTGGCAACCATTAACCAACATTAATCAACCAAACTTCTGGATTTGACAATGAGCTAAAAATTGATTTGACATAAATTTACAGTGTCAAAGCACATAGACATATATCCCTAATTTCGGTGCTAGCACCATGACGGCGCATCGCCGCAAGAAGGGGCAACGCCCCCATCGCGCGCATGCCCGTCAGCAACCCCGCGCTGAGTCGCCGGAATCCTGGTAGCAGTCGATTCTCCTGCTGGAGCTTCTAGATTCTTTTGTCTTTGCTTTTCTGTTTGGCCCTGAATTTCTCGGGGATTTTCCAGCTGGAGTTCCTATGTTTCTTTTTACGCCTAAGGAGCGCAGGCGGATGGAGGAGCGTCTTCGGGCACAGGCCCGCTTGCCACCAGCCCTGCGCAATCCGCCGGGGACGAAGCCTAGAAGTTCTGGGTGACGAGTCTGGCGGTTGCCATTGCCGGCGACCGGGGGCTGCGCGGCCAGATTCAAGAGGAGTCTAGGCCACCAAGTGTGGGGGGATTTCCTCTGAAGCTACTTGTCTTGCATAAGTGGCTGCCATAAGGTGACGAGGTTGAACTCTGACACTTTTGTTGGATCCTGCGAGAGCGGGTAGGTGAACGTCCCCAGCTGAGTTTTAAAAAAATCGTGTTGAGAAACTAGAAACCATTGTGTCATATTCAGAAATAACGTTTCGTTGTGTTCGGGATTTGTGTTTTTTGGCGTTCAGAAGCTAGGTAAACTTTTGCTCCGGAGTTTTCAAGATTTGGGGTTTTGAAAGGTTCTCCTTGTAGTGTTCTGTTTGTTTAGGTTTTAAGGTTCTTTGAGGGTTTGCTTAGGGATTGTATACGGTTTGGTTTGGGTTTCCTTAGGGTTCGTGCAGGGTTTGTCCCTGCTTTGTTTCAGAATGCAACTTTCCAGCTTCCGAATGCAGTTTTCCATTTTTTTGTTTTGTCTGGCCTACCTTTCCCCATGCATCTTGGTTCAGTTTCCCATTTGCATTCGTGACATCAGGGAAATTAGGCAGGATCAGATCGGAAGATCTTGAGACTGGCTGATGGCCTTTTGATTCGCCAAACAATTCAAAAATTGAAAGCGCACATTTTTTCAGAAAACCCAGGCCAGAACACATGTGCACGACTCAAACTTCTACAGTTGCACGTGCGTGAGTCTCGGGATCCAAAATCCCAAACAATTCAAACATTTTCAAAAATTGGACCATATATATATATAAACATACGTATATATATATATATACATGTATATATGTATATATACATATATATATATATCTATGTATATATATATATATCTATGTATATATATATATATCAAAATCCATCCAAGTTTGGTCAACATATTTGTGAAGAACACAAATTTCAAAACACGCGAGTAAGGTGAACACAACTTAAAAACACACAGGGTAAGATAAAATCAGGCAGATGCCAAGTCAGAGCAATCGAATTAAATCAAATAAAATCAAGTACAGTCAGCTGAAACCAAGAAACATGGAGTGTATTCAAACGTTGGGATGCTTTTGTTTGTTGTTTTGTTTTGACGTTATCACACAGGAGTCGGTCTGATTTAATTTTGGTGAATTGACCCATTGGTTTCGTCGTACTGAAATCCCAGCCAAACCTGGTGGACACCCTTTCTGTGGGGACAGCCCCGTTTTTTTTTGAAGTCTTCATATTGCTCAATGTCCCGCTTGTCTGAACTTACTCGCATATTGTTGATATGAGATTATATCAGATGGCATAAATAGTTGTTCCATATTCAATATTCAAATAGGCACCAAAATGGTCGTGGTATTGGAGTCTGAGCAAGTGGTCAAAATCGCGCGTGCCCAGTTTTGCACTTTTCTCCAGTTCCCCCTGTCAACATTCGAACATGATGTGACCAATTAATTCAGCGCACCGGGGTGGATAAGATCTTTGCTCAGCTCTCTCAGTATAATTTTCAAAATTGGGGTTGAACAATCTACACTGTACACAGATACAAAGACTAGCAGCTTCTCTGTCATTCAAATTTGCGTTTCTTTTGGTGAAACGCCGTGCTGTGAGTGATTGGGCTGAGCGAAATCAAACACATTCCGTTTCGTTCGCAGTGGGGGGCCCTTTCATCAGAGCCGCGCACACACATAAGGAACGTGTAGAGCTTGGGGAGTTTTGAAAAAATGGCTCCCAAAGCAATTGAATATCAAAAAAAGGTCCAAAGGACATGGCGTAGTCAATCCTCACCTGAAGGAGAAGACGTTTCAATGGCTCTGGCGTCGCAATCTGAATGTGAACGAGAAGCTCACACCGACGCAAATGTGCCAGGAGCTTGGAAAGCTGTGCAAGTGGCGTGCTTGAGTGTGGAAAATGACGCTGACGCCGCCGCCCACAGGCCACCGGCCACGGCGTGACCGTAGTTTAGCAGGATTTAGCATGATTTAGCAGGGTTTTCCTTGTGGTGCAGGTCCTTCGACTTGCACCGACTGGTGAACAGTTTTAGATGGTATCCATGTCCATTTTCAAAACTGGATGAGTGAATCAGATAGGCCGCATACCCAAGGAACCTAAGTCTACAATTAGCAAATTGTGGCACAAACCCAGCTCAAATCATGGCCCATGGTCCCCCCCCTTTCATTGTCGAGGTGCCACCTTCTCCGCACAGCTCAGGCCCAAAACTCCGGGATTGTCAACTTCTGGTTTTTTTTGCCTAGGAAATTTGGAGGAAATGCTGAACCACTGGATTTTTCTATTGCTAATTTTTGAGCGAAGGAAATTTGTTCCATTTTAGTTAGGAAAATGTGGTTTTAAGATGTTTTAAGCTATGGGATGAAATGGGGTACCGTGTTTCGGGGGGATTGCTGTCAACTAGTACTACGGATTTGAAACAGGGGCCATTTGCCCCAGTCAAAGAGTAAGATGACTCTGCAGGCCCAATCTTGGCTCCGAATATTTGGAGGAAATGCTGATCATTAAAAAAAGAGGTTGAAGTATCCAATGTGAGGAGTACCCATGGTTACCCACGCTTGACTCATGCTCACATTTTCAATTCGATGCTTACTTGAGTTCTTGCCTGAAGTTTGAACATCTTGTTTCCGTGAATATCGATCCACACAACCTCCTCAAGAGCAAGAGTATCGTTAGGGGCCACAGCAAGCATGGGCGATTGACATGTTTTGGCCAAGATCCACTGCAGACTCCGTTGTAGTTGAACCATGTATTGGAGCACAGTAGATTCTTACGATGAATTAATGGTAGGGAAATCATCCTCGAGACATCGGACAAAGTAGGATTTGTCCAGATGGAAATGATCCCATTGCCGGCCACTTTCGGCCACGTGCCGCATTGCGCCAATTGCAGTGAGCGTCCGCGGCACAGGGAGGTGTGGGTGAGCAGAAGTTTCAAGAACGTTGACTATGGGCTTGAAATGGTTTGAACGGCCTGAACATATCCGAAAATGGGGCATCATTAATCTTCTGCACTGGTGATTTTCAGGTTCCACACACTTTGTACGGTCAGTACTATCGAACCCAAAATCCGTGTCCCTCTCCTCCGAATTTCCTTTCCGGTGAGGTGGTGGCCCTATGTTCTTTGGCAGCTTCAAGGTGATATGCTGGGAGGCCCTCCAAGCCATTTGGAAACTTTCATGCTGCGACTTGGCCCATTTTATGGATGTGAATTGGCTGTGCATTTCATATTATATCATATTATCGTGACGTTTCAAATTTGTTGGTCTTGAAGATGTATTTTCCAAAGACGCTGTGGAAAAATGTAGGGATATTGAGATCACCTTGAACAATGGAACAGGTGGAAAAATTGCAGGCTCAGTATTCCAGGCGTTGCCTCTTGAGGGTTTGTACTTCTGTTTGCATCTCAGGTGCAGTTGAACCGTGAGATCATTCAAGCACCCACTGCGGCAGAATTGCTTGCTCTGTGCCAGTTACGGATCACTGTGTCTTGTCCCTGTTCTGTACATTATACATTGTTTTGTGATGTTTCGTGAAGATGCATTTGAGTAGTGGCAATGTTGGTCATTGAGTGTCGGCTTCATGCGCCTTCGTTCCGATACTCACACAGCTTTCTTTGCATGATTGCTGGTCCATTCACAGGAGTTGTTGTAGCCTCAGTCATGGTCGCGATCATTTGACCACATATCTGTGATATCCAGATCAAAGCCAAGTGAATGTACATTGTGAGTATTGGTTGATAAGCTTTTAAGTCAACCATGGAAAAAGCGGACATAAATCGATTTTGTTTCATACAGCCTCAAACGCGTACAATCTGAGCGTTTAGCTTAACATCACTTAACATGACGGCCTTTTTTCCTAGGTCTCAAATTCATTTATACAACTGTGTTGTTTCCAAGGGATCAGGCCGGAGCCGACCCCCTATCCCAATCATCCCCTGAGGAATTGAACGCGGTCAACGTGGCCACTGCCTTGAATCAACTTGCCAAACGACGCGACGCCCGAGATGCGTTGCTCGGGCTGTGTTTGAAACTGGAAAAGCACCATCCATTGGTTTATTGTGTATGGTGGTTTTCAGATGATGGTGGTTTTCCAGTTGATGGGGAAAAACCATGGAAAAACCACCACTGAAATGAAAACCATCATCATCCCCATGAACATGGCAATTTTTGGGGCTCATTTTCAGAGACATTTCGGTGATACGTGGAATATTGTAGCATGAATTTGGGAATCGCATTCCAAAAGTGGCGCTCAAGCTGGGTTGCATAGGTTCCAAGCGGCTAAGCGGTTTCCAGATGTTTCCAGATAGCCACATTTGCAGGCACTTGGCAGAGCTGGTTTTTTGAATCTCAGGTGGCACACGGGCAAAATGAGCCTCTTGATCGATGCAGCGGAGAGCTTTGCCAAGGCAACGATTTTGTTGCTCGAGTGTGCACCAAACGGGATCCCACACCCAAGGTCTTCAGGAAAAGTATCATGTCACGGTGTCAATCATGTCATTGTATGACACTCTGAGCAATTGCGCGGGCCTTTAAGCAATGCTTTGTTGATCTTTGTTGCATCGAAATGGGTTCAGGGGTCGTCTGTGCACGTCAAAAGTGGGTCGTCTGTGCACGTCAGACGGTTGGTCGTCTGTGCACGTTTTTGTTGTGTGATTTTGTCATTGTAGCTCTGTAACATGATTCTTCTTCTAGCTTTTTTTTAACATCATCACACAACTCATCAAGTTATGGTTTTTTTCCTCACATCTCTGTGTGGGGCTTTTGTTTTTATGTTTGTATTCCTTGCCTTCTCCTCCTTCTCCTCCTGAGTTGCTTCTTTCTCTCTCAACTTCACTCAAGTTGTCTCACACAATGCACACATTTCATCTCACACAACTCCTCTCATCTCACCAGTCACACAACTCATCTCACACAACTCATCTCACTCAACTCATCTCACACAACTCAACTCTCTCAAGAGCTGCTTTCGTGTGGCATTTGGTGGAGCTGCTTCGTGTTCTCTCACTGAACTTCACCCAAGTTCTTTCACACAACTCATCTCACAACTCACACAACTCATCTCACACTACTCCACTCATCTCACAACTCACACAACTCATCTCACGTATTTCTGCTCATCTCACAACTAACACAACTCATTTCACACAACTCCTCTCATCTCATAAGTGTAAGTGCTCTACAGCAAGAAAGATGATGAGGCTGCTGTGCGTGTGCAGGCATAGGAACATGAACCTTATTAACTCACCCCACCCCACCGGTAACTGATCATGAAAGAGCTGTGCCTGTCTCTGCTCTACGGGAAGAAAGATGATGAGGTTGCTGTGCCGGTGTGTGCATAGGAACATGAACGTTATCATCCCACCCCACCCCCCCACCCCAACCAAACCCGAAATGGCTGGTTCCCAGCATCAATGTGCGCGGATGACCGCTCTTTGTGCGCGGATGACGCGGTTTCTCTGTGCGCGGATGACTCGTTTGCAATGTGCGCAGATGACTCGCTTTCAATGTGCGCAGATGACGCGTTGACCGGCCAATGTACATAAGTTCGCTGCCTGAAGACAATCTCACCTCTTGGCAAAATCAGTTTGCAAGTTCATTGGAAGATCAGTTTTTGAATCGTATTCGTCGATCCATGGGTTTGAAAATGGCCATGTTCACATGGCCATTTGGGGATAAGTCCATCATTTTCAGACACACCCAAATCAGATTCAGTTGGTATAGTATACTATTATTATATATATATATAATATACACACTGTATATATATATAGAGCATATAATATACCATTTATTTCCCATTCATTGATGTCCGATACAAGGCCATTGATATCCAAACATACCCTATAAATATCCACAGTATGTCACATGTCCTAACCATGTCCTAACCATGTCCTAACCATGTCCTAACAAAAATCCCATATCCCCATTGTATACCAAGTAAGTTAGCATCATAGATCCATGTAGATCTCATTGATATCCCCAGTATATTTCCCTTGATTTGCCAATCTCTCAGACCGGATCCGGCCGGGAGCTCGCGAGTATGGCTTGGTGATGCGCCAAAGTTGAGTTCTGCCATCGACCCTTGCTGGAGGCAGGCAAGACTTACCCAACACCTGTAGATTCTTTGCGCAGGTTCCACATGGTTCCACTCTTGCATGAAGTGTTTATTATTGTCTATTAATGGTTATCAATGGTTATCAATGGTTATTGATGGATGATGATGATGTTGATGATGATGGTGATGAGGACGGTAGCAACCAACCATCATGATCATGAAACAAATCCCCTATGGCTTACTGTCCTACGGTCTTCATTTCTGGAGATGATGTGATGTTGAGGCCATAGCTCGTTGTGCTCAGCAACAGAGCTTCGCCCCACAGGGACTTTCGATGCTTGACAGTCAAACCTTGGAGGATCACGATTCGTAAATGGTGAGTGGGGTCACTTCCCACAGTTGTAAATGGAATAAACCCAGTTGAGGAGGGTTATTAAGCTGGCTGATTCTCCAAGTTGCCCCCTTGGCGTTAAAAAAAGGGGAATTTCCAGCGCTATCCAGCGTCGTGTGGTCCAGTTATGTCCGGGTGTCACCCAGATTATCTTTGCATAGGCCATCACAAGTTGATTTGTCACTGTGATTATGCTGCAGGAACCACACCCAGTTTATGGTCTATGCAGATTATCACACCCAGATTATGTCCGGTGTCCAGTTGATTTGTCCGGTTTCTCGCTGCAGGAACCTCTCGTGGAAGCTTGCCACTGTGAAGTTTCTGGATGCACCGCTGATGTTTTTTTTGGCGTTTCAGGCCACTTTCCAGGATTCCAGCTGGATTGGAGATGGACACCAATGCAACACCAGTCCGTTTAGGATTCGTATCCATAGGAATCTTGGGATCATATATGATCTGGGTAAATTTGATCACGACCTCACTGCGACCGAAGCCTGGAATCATGGCTAATAAGGGAAATCATCCCCAAATGGCCTTAATTCAGGTTAGTGAAATATTATAATTTACCCAGATATATGATCAACATTGATCAACAAAGGTTTCCTTCACACAGCTATCGTGACATTTCAGCGTGGCGTTTCAGGTCGTTGAGCAGATTTCTGAGTTCGATGCCCAATGCGTGGCCAACACAGCCTGAGCTCATGCTTGCCTGAAGATCACTGATCAGCGGCTGATGGAGGCAGTTGGTGAATATGTGGTGCCTCGAACGCCTCGAATGTGTTTCTTCACTATGTGCATAATTGTCATGCCTCAACGAACCGCTGTTCTTAATTTTTCAGAGTTTCACACAGAAACAGTTCAAGATCGAAATTTAGGATCTGTTCTTTTGCAGATCCTAGTTGCGCTTCTGAGGTCAACCGGACGGCAACATTTGCTCCGCAGGGCCTCGCAAATAGAGCGCAGACGCCTGGAACTTTGGGCATTCGGAGGAAGCCGCTGTTGGATGCTATCGCAGAGGCCGCTGTTAATTGCAGTGGCTTCACATCATAAGGACACTGTTCTGGATTGGTTCTGGTAGAGAGCTTCCGGTTTTTTAGTGCTGTTTTGTAGCCATGTTACTGGTGGAAATCGTGGAAAATGAAGATCGATTTCCAGGTGGCAGCCATGTGCAGCAGATTGGAATCGGTCCAATTCATCATGGTGGACCCGTTTTCAATGATTTTTCCATCAATAAATAGAGATTTTGTATACATTGCCAGTGGCAGGACTTACCAACTCTGCCTGGACTTTTGCCACGCTGGCTGAGAGAAAGGATGCGGATGGGATCCATGAAACAGATGAAATGTAGGGAGATACCGGAGATTGAAACGAACATCTCTCCATTTTGATGTATAAAGGGGGCAAGTGAACCCTGTTCAACCCAAAGCCATGTACATGTAAATGGTTGACAGAGACTGCCCGTTTTGTAAAAGAGCTGCCAAAATACTAAGAGCCAAAATACTAAGAGGTTGACGTTTGGAAAAGGACTGATTTGGGAGCGGGTCAAGATTCACGATCTCCCGGCTGCAGAGGTTTGTATTGTTTGATTTGTTTTTTCCTGCAGGGGTTTGGGACCGAGAAACGAATATTGAAAATTGAAAGCCGGGAATGCAGAGCTGCGCAAGAGATTGAATGATTAGCAAAATGAGTGAATGATTGGTTGAGAGAGTAAGGTGTATTTGCGACGACAATTCCGTGCCACAAACCACTTGTTGGAACTTCAAAGTACACGCAGTACCCATGCGAGCCTGGAAGGTCCAGGAGGTAAGGACGTATAGAGCAAAAGAAGAAAGTGCCTATTGAGTGCGTGCCACAAAGACCTGAGCAGCGACAATTTGTCTTTATTGCGCACCGTCCTGAGATGTTCCCTTTTTGCACTGACATTTTTTTTTCATCTTGAAAAATTGGGTCTGAGGAAAAACCTTCTAAAATAGAGGCCCACCCCCCATTCCAAGGAGCTTGAGTTATTTTTGGAAACATTTTTCACGATACGGTACCATCATACTAGTAGGCATCCAACATTACATTTGCTGCCAGCATTTGCTGTTTCGGTGAAATGCATTCAGCAATTATTAGCACAATGAGTTCAAGTGAGGTCCCGGGAACCACTTGGATGTCTATTGAGTCACCAACCAGCGTGGGGATTGGCTCATGTTTGCTTATTTTTAAATTTGTATTTTCTTGTCTTCTGCATTTTTTGGATTTGATGTTTGTATTTTTTTGTACTTGTAGTTTGTATTTTTGAGATATGTATTCGTATTTATTTTGTTTCTATTTTGCATGTTTTCGCAATTATTTTGGATTTTTTTTAGAAAAACACAAAATCAGTAAAAACTACACCTTGCATTTTTTGTTTTTTCATTACTTCCAAAAATGCATCTTGTATTTTTTTGTATTCCGTTCCTTCACAAATTGCACTTTGTCCTTTTGTATTTTTCGTTCTTTGACATGCTGTCAAACAACAATACTGCGAGTCCACCAATGTATGTTGTATTTCCCTTTTGTTGGCGCTTTCTCCCGCCGCATGGTTGCATTTTCTTTTTATTTTGGACTTGTATTTTTTGGCATTCTTTTTATACGTATTTTTAATGATTACAGAGGTCAACAGTCTGTAGCCAACACCTAACTACTCAGCATCATACGATGCGTACAGACCAAAAACACGGGCCAGACATAGTCGAGGCCGATCAGACAGGCAAGGCCGGAAAGGCTAACGGGCAAGGGCCTCCCGGAAGTCGAGCCGCTCCGAAAGAAACAGGAGCAGAAGGAGCAGTAGTAGTAGTAGTAGGAGGAGGAGGAGTAGGAGGAGGAGTAGGAGTAGGAGTAGGAGTAGGAGTAGGAGTAGGAGTAGGAGTAGGAGTAGGAGTAGGAGCAGGAGCAGGAGTAGGAGTAGGAGTAGGAGTAGGAGTAGGAGTAGGAGTAGTAGTAGTAGTAGTAGTAGTAGTAGTAGTAGTAGTACCGCGGATTTGAACCAAGGTCCGCGCGTCTACAGCCAGAAAGATGCCTATGGGTTTTGATTTGGCGAAGTAGGGGGATGACCTCAAGCGGGCAGCCAGGGAGTTCCGGGAGCCAGAGTCTCAGTGTCAGAACAGAGATCACTTCAACTTCCCCAAAACACATGGATGTGTATTCCGTTCAGTTATACTGGTCAACTTCCCTCTTGCCACTACAATATCAGGCCATGACTGCAAGTAATTATTCACTCCTATGACCCAGGGGATTAATAACGACACGTCTGTCAGGTTGGGTCCAAGAGTGTCCTGGACTCACCCTCATATGAGGGCCAGCAGCAGTTCGCATTTTGTATGCGGCAACGACAAGTGCGGGAGCCGAGGGTCGGAGGAAATATCTTAATCATCCTATATCATATCATCCTCATTGTTTTCTTGATTGGCAAGTGGAGCTTGGGTGCTTCATACAGCCGAAACAGCATATGCTCTTGTATGAAATTTAGAGGTTGAACCCTAGCACTTGATAAGGTGGGAATCTTGAGTCCTCCTTTGAGGGCTGGGTATACTTTTTATATTGCCTATCTTCGAACACAGAATGGGGAATTTGTTTTCTCCCTCCCCGGGGATTTTTTTTTCCCGGCTAAGTTCTCGCAGACTGGTGTGCCAGGGAAGCAAGGCCGCAAGCAAGCAAGCAAGCCGGCCAGCAAGCAAGCAAGCAAGCAAAGAAGGGAGCCAGCGAGCAAGCAAGCAAGCAAGCAAGCAAGCCAGCCAGCCAGCAAGCAAGCAAGCAAGGGAGCCAGCGAGCAAACCAAGCAAGCAAGCCAGCCAGCCAGCAAGCAAGCAAGCAAGCAAGGGGGCCATCCAGCAAAGCAAGCAAGCAAGCGAGCGAGCGAGCCAGCCAGCGAGCCAGCAAGCAAGCAAGCAAGGGGGCCAGCCAGCAAACCAAGCAAGCGAGCGAGCGAGCGAGCAAGCGAGCAAGCAAGCAAGCAAGCGAGCAAACCAACCAAGCAAGCGAGCAAGCAAGCAAGCAAGCAAGGGAGCAAACAAGGGAGCCAGCGAGCAAACAATCTTTCTTCGAGGAATTTCTGTCCGAACCAAGGTTGTAACTAGTGATCGGCTTTATACACCGGCACCTATATCAAAAAATATTATTTGAATCAACAAATAAATATTAGAATCAAAAAACATAATATTAGAATCAAAAAACATATTCTCGGACAGGGGAAGGAAGGAAGTAAGGAAGGAAGGAAGGAAGGAAGGAAGGTAGGAAGGTAGGAAGGTAGGAAGGTAGGAAGGTAGGAAGGTAGGAAGGTAGGAAGGTAGGAAGGTAGGAAGGTAGGAAGGTAGGAAGGTAGGAAGGTAGGAAGGAAGGAAGGAAGGTAGGAAGGTAGGAAGGTAGGAAGGTAGGAAGGTAGGAAGGTAGGAAGGTAGGAAGGTAGGAAGGTAGGAAGGTAGGAAGGTAGGGGCAGGAAGGAAGGAAGGAAGGAAGGTAGGAAGGTAGGAAGGTAGGAAGGTAGGAAGGTAGGAAGGTAGGAAGGTAGGAAGGTAGCAAGGTAGAAAGGTTGAAAGGTAGAAAGGTAGAAAGGTAGAAAGGTAGAAAGGTAGAAAGGTAGAAAGGTAGAAAGGTAGAAAGGAGGGGAGGAAGGGAAAGAAGGAAACACTTTCAATATGTTTCAATCTATCATTGCGGTTCCGAAAACTAGCAACATTACATGTGAGAAGAGGTGCTTTCATTCTGCTTTGGGGGGAGGCGCTGCGCCCTCCTCCCAATCCCCCCCTCCCGCTTTCTTATATTTAAGCCCAAGCTCGTAAATACATTAGTTGGGGTTGGCATGATGATGTAATGAACATGATGGTGTGAATGCTAACCATGACCATCGTCCGCAACTTGCATTTTTGCGAACCAACCTTCTCTTGAAAGTTTGGGGGTGACAGGATGATGTAGTGAAGGTGGCCATGCCAAAATGTATCAAATCCCTTGGGGTTGGCATGATGATGTGGTGAACATGCTCACATTGAGAAAATCCCATGCAAAATGGAAGGTGAGCATGGCAACATGTAGCAAATCGCATACAAAATGGAAGGTGTTCTGAACGCCATGGAAAATTGGAGCAAAACCATAGGAAAACCATAGAAAATGACTAGGGAATCTGTGAGTGACGGCCCATGGTTTGAAGTGACGGCCCATAGTTTTCTAAGCTTGTTTATAGCTATGAGACTAGGCACAATTACCCCACTTGGAATGATTTGCCCCTGATCTGTTGTTTTACTTCTCATATAGAGTCCCGTTTTAGATTGGCAACAATTAACCAACATTAATCAACCAAACTTCTGGATTTGACAATGAGCTAAAAATTGTATTGGCATAATTTACAGTGTCAAAGCACATAGAAATATATCCCTAATTTCGGTGCTAGCACCATGACGGCGCATCGCCGCAAGAAGGGGCAACGCCCCCATCGCGGCATGCCCGTCAGCAACCCCGCGCTGAGTCGCCGGAATCCTGGTAGCAGTCGATTCTCCTGCTGGAGCTTCTAGATTCTTTTGTTTGTCTTTGCTTTTCTGTTTGGCCCTGACTTTTCTCGGGGATTTTCCAGCTGGAGTTCCTATGTTTCTTTTTACGCCTAAGGAGCGCAGGCGGATGGAGGAGCGTCTTCGGGCACAGGCCCGCTTGCCACCAGCCCTGCGCAATCCGCCGGGGACGAAGCCTAGAAGTTCTGGGTGACGAGTCTGGCGGTTGCCATTGCTGGCGACCGGGGGCTGCGCGGCCAGGTTCAAGAGGAGTCTGCGCCACCAAGTGTGGCGGGATTTCCTCTGAAGCTACTTGTCTTGCATAAGTGGCTGCCATCAGGTGACGAGGTTGAACTGTGACACTCTTGTTGGATCCTGCGAGAGCGGGTAGGTGAACGTCCCTGTTTGGAGGGCAGGTATCACACTACATCTTTGAAGTGACGGCCCATGGTTTTCTAAGCTTGTTTATAGCTATGAGACTAGGCACAATTACCCCACTTGGAATGATTTGCCCCTGATCTGTTGTTTTACTTCTCATATAGAGTCCCGTTTTAGATTGGCAACAATTAACCAACATTAATCAACCAAACTTCTGGATTTGACAATGAGCTAAAAATTGATTTGACATAATTTACAGTGTCAAAGACATAGAAATATATCCCTAATTTCGGTGCTAGCACCATGACGGTGCATCGCCGCAAGAAGGGGCAACGCCCCCATCGCGGCATGCCCGTCAGCAACCCCGCGCTGAGTCGCCGGAATCCTGGTAGCAGTCGATTCTCCTGCTGGAGCTTCTAGATTCTTTTGTTTGTCTTTGCTTTTCTGTTTGGCCCTGACTTTTCTCGGGGATTTTCCAGCTGGAGTTCCTATGTTTCTTTTTACGCCTAAGGAGCGCAGGCGGATGGAGGAGCGTCTTCGGGCACAGGCCCGCTTGCCACCAGCCCTGCGCAATCCGCCGGGGACGAAGCCTAGAAGTTCTGGGTGACGAGCCTGGCGGTTGCCATTGCCGGCTAACGGGGGCTGCGCGGCCAGGTTCAAGAGGAGTCTGCGCCACCAGTGTGGCGGGATTTCCTCTGAAGCTACTTGTCTTGCATAAGTGGCTGCCATCAGGTGACGGGGTTGAACTCTGGCACTTTTGTTGGATCCTGCGAGAGCGGGTAGGTGAACGCCCCCAGCAGAGTTTAAAAAAAATCGTGTTGAGAAACTAGAAACCATTGTGTCATATTTAGAAATAACGTTTCGTTGTGTTCGGGATTTGTTTTTTTTCGCGTTCAGAAGCTAGTTAAACTTTTGCTCCGGAGTTTTCAAGATTTGGGGGTTTGAAAGGTTCTCCTTGTAGTGTTCTGTTTGTTTAGGTTTTAAGGTTCTTTGAGGGTTTGCTTAGGGATTGTATACGGTTTGGTTTAGGTTTCCTTAGGGTTCGTGCAGGGTTTGTCCCTGCTTTGTTTGTCCCTGCTTTTTTTCAGAATGCAACTTTCCAGTTTCCGACTGCAGTTTTCCATTTTTTGCTTTGTCTGGCCTACCTTTCCCCATGCATCTTGGTTCAGTTTCCCATTTGCATTCGTGACATCATTCTGCATGTCGATTGAGGCGTCAGACTTCTGATGCGATCAAGGTTGAAATCAGTTGGAGTCGCAGAATTCGAAGTGCTAGCGGCTTTGAACGCGATGGCAGTGCAAATAGTTTAATGCTGATCGCCTAGGACACGCGCAAATGTCCTTTCTACAGGGTTTTTAACCCCAAACTGCTCCGATGGCAAATGGTCCCATGCTCATTGCCCGTCCTCCCACGTCGTTTTTTTTTGGGGGGAGGGGGCGGGGACCAGGAACAATTTTGATTTTAGAGCCTGCTGCATTTTCGTGGCTAGAGCGGCTCCCTGTCATTTGCAGATTTGGTCCGCGCATCATCATTTTAAGTCTTTGAGCCCGCTTTGCTACACATTGCCGCCAGCTCAGAGTTGTTTTGAAGCGGAAAAACGTGAGAGAGAGAGAGAGGGAGTGGGCGCGCATGGTTTAAGACCAATTCCAAGTACACCGTCAAAAGAAGTATTCATCTCCACCATCTGTGGAAAAAATCAGAATTGTTTCAACACGTTGTGCGCAATACGGTCGGATTTTTCCATGGGATTCCTCCACATACTGTACCAACGCAGTCCATTACACGTCGTAAGTTTCCTTCAAATTTGTTTCCACGCAACTTTAGCATATTTTTAAAAACGTTAAGAAGGAATTGCGTTGTGGATATTGATAACCGAACATCCGACATCCGAAATATGAACACCGAAACGAAAAAATCTACAGGCCGGAAATCGAAATTGGAGCATGGACAATTTCAAACCCAAAATGCGAAGTAAAGGACAGAAAATAGACACGTGACAAATGAAACGTTCCAAAGCCGCGCATTGCAAACCAATAACTGAGAACCAATAGTCGAAAATCGTACGTGGAGAGTCAAAAAACGTGAGTCATTGAGAATCGAACGTCGAAAAACGAGATGGGAATTCAAATTCGAAAAACGGAAAATATAGAAACAGTGGAAACCGATTTGTAGAATTTGGGTTGGCAACCCACGTTTGAAATTTCGAACCATATTGTTTTTTCATGACCACAAAAAACAAGATAGACAGACAGACCATGTCCTGATCCACATGTGGCCACATAACAGCTCGGTGGCAATGAAATGAACACTCCCAGGATTTTTTTTGGTGTGTGCAGCAGTACAAACTAATTGAAGATGGTTTTTGAAACTGCCAATACCTAATCAATTTTACAACATTTCTGGTCAAATTTCCATTCCAATTTCCCCAGTCCTATGGCGCCAGGAGATGTTGTTCGACTTGGTTGCATTTTCTGCGCCTGTGAGCGACATGCCTTTCCAAGAACTGGCAATGACAGCTTGGTGTCCTTCGACACTTCTGATTGGCAAGGATCCATTTGTGATTCTTGGTTGTTTAATTTTTTGACATCTCGTTTGTGACAGTTTTTGCGATTTTTTGGTTTGTGTGGAAAATTTGCACTCAAACAAATCGTGGAGTGGAAAACCAAACATTTTTGGCCTATGCCCAGCAACAACATTCGATGACCAAGGAAAGAAATCGCGGAAGCAGCTACAGCGAAACTTGAAACCACGAATTTTCGGCTTTGTGGATTTGGGTCCAAAGAGGCAGAACAATCAAGATTGCAGCGCAATTGAAAGGAAAATCAATTGTAACATATTGTAACCTATTGTAACATATTGTAACCAAAAAAAATTGAATGATATAATATAATTACTAATATACTTCTGAAATCCGTTTGGATTTGTTTGTGAACCACTCATCCAGCAACTGCCACAGGCCTGTCCTGCAGAGATGGTGACAGCTTTGGCAGGTGCACTGCAAAGTTTGGGCGCTGATACATCTCAGCAACTCGTTTCAAGAATTTATGGTAAAGTGACGGTCATCCTTGGTTTTTTGCCCGTTCTTGAAAGTATGGTTTTTTTTTTCAAATTCTTGCAGGTTTGCACTGAAACCATCAAAGACCAACAACTTTGTTGCAGAGAATAACATAGAAAATCAACAAACAGATTCCTGCAGTAAAGGGGGGAACATACGAAGACTTTGTTTTTTGGAGCAAAGCGGACAGACTAGGGTTATCTGTCTTGGGGTTGGATGACTGCAACTCGACACCTGTGCAAGCAAGTCGCGGCTCAATCTCTCCAGAACGGTGGAATGATTCCTTCATTGGATGATCGGCTCATTTATTCGGATGTATCCAGTCATATCCAGTCACTTTTGATGATATGTACCTATATATGTACCTAAGGTACTTGACAGCGGCAGCGTCATCGCTGGCCCGAGTTGCAGAGCCATTGGATGCGGCTGCAAGGATGTTGCTCAGTTCAGCCAACCGACAGCGACTTTGGATTGACCATCAGATGATCTTCGTGAAAGTTGACTGAAAGTCGCTGGATAAGTTAACTGTCGACTTTGCAAGTCTTTATCTGCTCAGTCGGAATTTGATAAGTTGACTTTGCAAGGACAACCAGCTATGACTCGGTCGCAGACTTGACAGACGAAGTCCCCACAGTGTTGCTCAGCTCCGTTGCGGGAGCATGGAAGGGCCCTATGTGTAGGGCAAGCGTTGAAGACCTGGGAGACTATACAGCTGTCATTTTTTGTTCTGTTGTTGCTGGTCATGAAAAAAAAATCGGTTTTCTAGTGAACTACTTAGTGAACATCTTGGAGAACTTGGCCATAAAACGATTAAAATTTGTCTCAGTGCCATCTGATGCCCTCTGCTTTGAAATGCAGGCTGGCCACACATCCTGGCATTGCCTTCATCTTCAAACCCAAGGGCTGGGTCGAAATCTCGGTGCCGAGACAATCCCAGACACCTTGATGTAAACACAGCACAGTAAATTGCTGCATATTGCACACAAAAACGCAATTCTTAAGGTCCTAGAGTTTAAACATGCTTAAACTGGCAACCAGCAACTTCAGGCATTTTGTTCTTAATTAGTTTGGCACCTTTAGTGATCTGAGTCCGTGAACGTCAACAGAGACACTGCGGCTGGTTTAGGCGGGAGCTGTCTTTTCGATCGGGTGATCTGAAGTTGATGCTTTCTTGGCATTGTCGCCTCCTTGGATGTCTTAGAGTTTGGCTTTGCCGAAGATGATGTGTTATTGGTTGATGGTGGTTCATTCACCGTTTGGAAAGTTGGGACTAAGACTGTAGTGATGACTATTTTTTTGTTGGGGCATCTTGAAGAAAAACATGGAAAAACCAAGACAAACCGAATCATGAAACCGTGCCGTTGAATCCATGCCGCAGGTGATGATGATGCTGCGGAGGACAGCCAAGAGAGCCAGGTGCCACAAAAACCGGCAAGACATGGTGGCGACTGCAGACTGGTTGCAATCGGGTTTTTAAGTGTTGAAGCTTTCCATCTCCAGCTTTCAATTTTTAGTAAAATTGTGCCAGTTTCATCTCTTGCCAGTGAACCACCAGTGAACCACCAGTGAACCCAGTCCTCAGTTCATTCTCTCTTTGATTTTCCAGGCGGCCCCGAAGCTTACAGCTTGGCTACAGGCAGAGCTCGCACCAAGGTCTGGAGCTTCCAAGACGAGAAACACCACATGACATGTGCATCTGGCGCGTCTGGGTTTCTTCGCCGGTTCAGATCGTTCAGAAAATCAGGTCCAGGATCAAACCAACTGATGAATTTTGCTAGACAAACTCACATCAAGCCTGCCTTTGCGGAGAGAGGTTCCCCATTTGCGGAGATCATACGGTCCAGCATGGCGTTGTGCACCGGCTGGACTGCAGACTGGTCATTTTGACTCATATGGATGCGGTGGCCCATTGGCCACGTTTAATCACCGAAAGGTTGTCCAACCATTGGAAACTGGAGCCACCATTATCAAACATGGTCATTTTTGGTACGAAACCCATCGAGACCCTGCATTTTTTGTTGCTTTTAGCCAGACCACATGGTGCAACTTGAAGATCTCTTTGTCCCTGCAGGACTTGGACACCTCTGGCCCAATGCTCTGTGCCACCAGTTATCAGGGATACCTGATCGACGCTTGGCCAACACAATTGGTGTTGCTTGATGGTCCAGGTTCGATGGGAATCATATGGAATCACCATAAGAACTTTAGAAAACATATTGGAATCACTTGGAATCCCTATGAATGAAAATGAGTGAACCACACGAGGGAATCCATTGAGACTTTGGGAACTCACCTGACGTCACGTGGCGTGCCAAGGCGCTGCTCTTATTTGCCTCTCGAAAGGTCACGAAGGACTTCGGAAGGTACCTTCGGAAAGGTACCTCTGTGTTCATAGTCCGATCTACCCTCGGAGAAAATGATGGCACTGGACACATGTTTTTTTGGAGTCATTGACTAAGGTTTGAACATGAAGATGTTTCAGCCAGGTTGGAGATGGTTGGAGTGCAAGAATCGCTAGAAGGCAACAAGGAATAACAAGGATACATTGCCACATGCCGGTGCAGGAGTACGTTTGCCTATGCAAAGGGTGGTTGTCGAACAAGGCGTTATGCAGCTCAAGCTACCCCAGATGCAGATGCTCAACAGGTGATTGATCAACCTTTGCGTTTCAGGTGCGCTTTTTTGAAGCACCGCTACTCTACGGTGAGTATCAGACCCTATCGAGTCAAGGCCAGATAGAGCTTGTTTTTATTCTTTGGCCGTCAAAGCATTGCAGCTTGCAGTGGTTTTGCAGATTGTTGCAGTTTACACTTTACACATCTTTACACACATCATCAGGGTTTGTGTCTTCCACAGGCTGAAATCTGTTCACTGACAAAACCAAGGCCGGCACACACTGCGCCCGGAACTTGAAGGTGAAGGAGCACACGGCTTACGACAAGCCAAGACAGAGGCGCAATTTGACCAGAGCGAGGATGGGCCACGCTCTGTGATAGGTTACCCATAGCATCACAGATCACGTATCAGGCAGACTTTTTATGGCTATTTCTTGCGGAAGCCGGAATTCCTACAGGTTCTGACTGTGGGTCACTTCACAGATCCAGCGGGTGCTCCAGTCAGCCTCGTAGAAGTGCGGCTACATACAGGGAGGTGCAGCAGCGATTCCCAGATGTGAATCTGGTGTTTCCTGTGTTTATTTTGTCTTGCAATACGTTCTAAGTTCTATGTTCTTACTTCCCGGGCAGTGGGCAGTTTGCAGTTTGATCTTAGAAACAATATGACAATATGAAACAATATGTTTCTTTTGAGGCGGCATCAGATTCGTGCACACCTTCGCTATGAGGGGCATCCTTTGATTGGCGCCTTGGCGTCTGGACTGAGTTTATCTCATATCTCAGATCTTCGGAATCAGAGCAGTTGAGGCGATGGCATCTATGGAAATGGCGCAGAACCGTGGTGTGACAGCCTCTTCCTGCACTCTTATCACCTGGGACTGGTCCTCAAAATCTCAAGAGACCGGATCAAAGACCATGGACAGACTTTTCAATCAACATTCCATAAGATTCATGGAACCTTGGAAGACTTCAGAAGTTCATCAGATATCATCAGATGTCCTGAGTCGAGTCGATGTTAAGTCTGACATTGCACCGCGGTTAGGTCTCACCACTGGCTTTCCACCGCTTTCACCTTGCCATGTCTTTGTTCCCTTGCCAGCCAACCTGCGGATGGTGCTGCAAGGGTCTCAGGGTTGACCTGGGCTGAGGCTGACCGTGCTGCATTGGATCTGGTTTATTACAATGGAATCTACTATAAATGGATATGGTTATTTACCATATATTACTGAAACACTATAATGGGAATTATATGGAATTATAGCAATATCTCTTTGCTGCCCAGACACACGATTGATGGTGTTTCAATGTGTTTCATCGGAGTTTGATGCTTGATGCTGGACTCAGGTCGTGCCTGAAAGCCATGAATGCCGCATCACATGAAATGCAGAAAGATTGGCAATGGCGGCAAAAGGGCTTTCACAGTTTAAGTTGGGTCGCGTTGGTGGTGGCCTTCTCACTATATTTTTGATGTCGATTCTCCATTTAGATGGATTTTAGATGGCTGCTACATGCTGCTACGATTCTCCATCTTGTCTTTGTATCCTCTAAATGACACTATGTTACTGCCGCTGTTCTGGTTTGCTTATGTTTTCTTCTTGCTGCTGGTTGCTTGTTCCCTATTATCTTCATGATAGTAACTTTGCGACCTCGCCCTGATCGAACAGGTTCCAACGCAGAACAGATCGTTGGCGTGGTGAGTTGGCGTGGTGCTCAAGCAAGAAGACGTTGTCAAGTAAGCCCGAGACGCTCAAAAGTGTCACCCAACAATGGTGAATGGTTTGTCCTATGGCTATATAATCTATATATACCAAACCATGATGTTGCCGTTGGGCCAGGACCCGGTTGCCAATTTCAAAGCTGAAAAGTGAAAAAGATGTGCACATGTGAACGCAGGTCAAAATGTACCCATTTTTTTCCATATGCAGCGCGCGCATCCATGTTCACGCGATGCTTTGTGCGCGCAACACAAATATCATGGTTTGGTAGGATATGCAAGCGATTTCAAAAAAAAAGTTTTTTGAGCACAAAAACATACATAGGCATCGGCTTTCGTTGGATGACACTATTTATGATTTTATGAGTGTCTCGATCTTTAAAGTAGCCAGTGTTACATGATGTTATGATATATGTTTTGACACTGACTACTTTGTGATGTAACATATATAATCGAAGGTAGTTTAGAAGTCAAACTTCCGACAAAATATGGAGAGATGAAAAGTAGAGCAGGGAAGAGGCATAGAGAAGAGAAAGATTAGAAGAAAGAAGAGTAGAAGAGAAAGAGTAAGAAGACAGAAGATGCAGATGCGCGAAAAGGTAGGAAAGTCGCGAAACACTGTGTTTTTCCAATGATTTGTGGCTCCGGAGGGTCGAAAAGTAGGCTCGCTAAAGCGGCGGGTGCGGAGCCAGCTGGCCAGAGGAGAGATGAAAAATTGCACGCCGTTGTGGCGCGAAGCACATTTCGAAGTCAAAATGTACAAAACACACCACACACGATGTCGAAAAAGTGCACGCCGTTGTGGCGCGAAGCACATTTCGAAGTCAAAATGTACAAGCACACCATGCTCGAACCACTTTTTGAAGTTCAGATGTCGAAAAAGTGCACGCCGTTGTGGCGCGAAGCACATTTCCAAGTCAAAAGTGTTAAAAACTGACGGTCTCGGACCACTTTTGGAGGTTCAGATGTCGAAAAAGTGCACTCCATTGTGGCGCGAAGCACATTTTGAAGTCAAAATGTACAAAGCACACCAGGTTCGGACCACTTTTGGAAGTTGAGATGTCGAAAAAGTGCACGCCGTTGTGGCGCGAAGCACATTTCCAAGTCAAAATGGCCAAAACACCGCAGCTTCGGACCACTTTTGGAAGTTGAGATGTCGAAAAAGTGCACGCCGTTGTGGCGCGAAGCACATTTGGAAGTCAAAATGT